CTGTTTCTGTTCCTGACTCATCTGGATCCTGCCTGTTCTGTCTGTTCCTGTCTGTTGTGGATCCCTGACCAGGATCAGCTTCCAGTATGTCCACTGGAACTGCAGCACTTGGGGACATTCTAGGACTGGACTATTAAACCAGGTAAGTGGCCAACTCTGTGATTGGGCGGTGCCCCGCTCCCCATCCTGCAGTGTTCGCGAGCCACAGCTCCGCTTTAGTTTTGTTTGTTTATTAAACTTTTTGAACTTTCCTACTGACTGTCTCTCCTTGAATACTGGGTCCATCTGTCCTCGGTTCATGACAAATTGACCTGAGATGTTTAAACGAAACCTACATTTACATGGATACAATTGGATTGAAGGCCTGATCAGATCAAAAATGTTTCTAGTAAATATGTCAAAATGAAGAGTCAAGTACAATCTGAAATAAAATGATCTAAAAGTAGAATCTAAAGCAGATCTTTTAGATATCAGGCTCCTCTCCTGTGGAACCAACTACCAGTTTTAGTCTGTGAGGCAGACACCCTGTCTACTTTTAAGAAGAGGCTTAAAACTTTTCTTTTTGATAAAGGTTATAGTTAAAAACAGAGTGATTTGAGCTTAGTAGCCTGATCTGGCGGCGGAAATTTTCAGTCCAACTAGACGTTTCTCCTAAGCTCTACCTTGGCCGCACTGTGGATCTACCTTTCTTAAACCTCATTGAAAATAGTTTGGTTATCCTGAGCTATTTTCTGCATTTATGCTTCTATTCTTATAGTAGCTTCATCCAGTTTGTTCCTGTTTGGCTGTGACTCCATTCTGGAGAAAATGATCAGTTGTGCTGCTGCCATCAACACCTTTGTTTATAGATGTTGGAGCTCGGCCTGTTTTCCAGTGTAGTCCTGTTTCTCTGACTGTGACTAACTGGATGTGCTCTCTTCATCCTCTGACATGGGAGATGGCTAGGAGCTCGTCTGCCTGGGTGTGTGTTTCCTGGACGGGCCGCCTGTGGAGCTGGTTGACCCGTTACTTTTTGTATCCCTGCTTCTTTCTGTATGTCTGATTCTGACATGCTTTTAAAATGAACATTTCCAGTTCCAAACCTATACATGGGTTTTTCTTTGAAAACTTCCAGCAGCCTGGATCTGCAGGAAGTTTATTCCTGTTTGTGACGGCCCTGCTGTGCTGTCGGGTGAGCATATGTGTAAACTGCCTAAACTAACACTATCAATTAAGGTCCTCTAAGTTGTAGGCGCTTCCATTACGCGGCCACCTGGTTGGTATTTAAGGAGCGCCGTTCCATTTAGGAGTGTTGCTGTTCCATGCTTGAGAGGCGCGTCACCTGGTTGAAGCAAGTACGCCGCAGACAGCCATCCAGTCCAGTCCAGACCAGGTTGGGGTCCAGACTTCCTGGT